GCTTGATCTGTGTTATATGGAATTTCTCTGCGTTTTATGCCTCTAGGCTCAGTCCCACGATAGAGCAGTGCTTGCCTCTGAGCAGCTGCCTGCCTGCTGGATAACTTGGTCCCCTTGTGGAGCTTATTCCTTTGCCAGCCATGAAAACATCTTCTCTCACACATCCTGGCCAAGTGTTCCTTCTGCTGTGTGTGTAAAGGACTGCTTGCTGCCTCTCTTGTTACAAATGCCCATTGTTCCAGTGGACAGGTTGAAATGCAGCATAATCCTCAAATGTTCTGCAGATTTGACACATACCTGGAGCTCTCTGAGCATACAGCTCTGCCAGACACTGTGTTGGGATGAAGAACTTGAGAAGAAGTAGCAGCTAGGGCAAGTCTGGCTCTGGAACTGATGTGGGGGGGATGCACCAAGCACAGAGTTAATAGTAGGTTTTGGATCAAGTCCTTGGAATTGTGTGTAAGTCCAAAGAGAATTTTATTGTTAGAGGATTTGTTTAATTAGCATCTGGAACATAGCCACTAACATAGGTTTGTGTGTAGAAAGATGGTTGGTACTTTCTTTTAGGAATTGTTGCTTTCTACGTGTAGGTGTTCAAACAATAGTTAGGGTTAATAAAACTTAGCAACAGCCAAAAGGAAAATATTTTTCTCTTGCTTATTTCCTTATGCTGTACATTTAGACACTGTTCTTATTGTTGGGTTTTTTTGTTGGTTGTATTTTTTTTTTTTTTGGTTTGGGCAATGTGTGTCCCTTTTTCTAGGGCAGAAAGAAAATTGTTCACCAACAAAAGCTAAGCTTATGGAAACTACCAGTTGGCTGAAGGTTCAGGGGCTGGAAGCATCTGAACCTGCTGACATGAGGGGACGGACTTGGGGGTGTCACTGGAGCCTCCAAAGCCCTTGCAGTGAGGGAGGAAGGAGGAGAAGGGTGACTGTACAGGCTTGTGCTTTAGTAACAGCCATTGGTAAAGGGGGATGTGAGGAGGTTTTTCCATATGCAGCAGCTTATGCCAGTTTTGCATCTGCCTTTATTTGCATTATTAGGATTACACTAATAAATGTGCTCTAAACCTTTTTGAAATCCCTGATGCTGTGGCGCTGCTGTTTGCCAGCACTGTGCACGCTGCCCCTTGCCAGCATCCAACCCTGGGGTGGGAGCTGTGCTCACACAGCTCAGGAGGCTGCTGCATCCACCCAGCTGTGGCCTCGCTGCCTTTACAATAAAATCCTACCTGCACCAATGACAGTTTTAATTTTCTTCCCCAGGAATTGCTGCCCCAGTTATAGATGTGTCTGGAAAAGAGGACCCTGCAAAAGAACCTTGTCACATAAGCCTGGTGTTGGGTGTTATTGCTCGTAATTGAGGGGAAGATTCTTCCCCAGTGTGTGGAGTTCCCAGGCTCATCTCCTGTGGAAAAACCCTTTTCTTGTAGGGTGATGGTGCTGCCTGAGCTGCCTTGGGAGGCCACCCTGGGCTTTGGATTTCCTTGCTGGTGTTTGCAGGGGAGGCTGGGGATGTGTTCTGGAAAGGACATCCATGGTAAGCTGCTGGAGGGAATTGGGCTGTGCTGTGTCAGACAGAGACCTTGGTGGCCTGTGCTGGGGCCTTGTTCTGTCACGTCCTTCACACTGCGTTACTTTGTCACCAGCAGCTGGAATGCAAGGAAAGCTTTAGCTCTTGGGGGGGGTGGGCAGGAGCAAGATAAACTCCAGAACATAGGTGTGGGGCAGCGTGGGACTCCTGATACTTCTGGGACTTGGTTTAAATCTCTGGAATGAAAGGTTTATCTCTGCTTCAGCTCAAAAACTGGAGCTGTCAAGCTAATCCTTGGATTCCTTGTGAGTAGAGAGTTAATCCTTTCTTCTGGTGCTGTAAATGTTTGTTTAGCTATGCATTTATGGAGTTCAGACACTTTGGAGTGTATGTTGGGCAACTGCTGGTGTCCTGTCCGGGGACTCTTTATGGCTTGGAGCATCACCAGGATTGTAGTGGCCATCACACCCCTTTGTGGTCCTTGCCCCTTAGCAAGTGATGGATATGGAGAGGGCTGTGGGAACATTCCTGGCTGAGGGCTGCATGTGAGAAATCTGTTTTGTCCTGCAGTGTCTATCGACTCCAGAAATATGAAGCTTCTGTAGCAGTTATCAGTGCAGCAAAACACAAGGAGGATTAAAAACCTGATGTAGGATGACCTTCTAGTCCCATCTCCTAACAATCCCAGTGTTATGGCTGTGCTGCAGGCCTAGATCAGATGTCCTTTTCTCTGGAGAAACTCCAGCCAAGGAGGTTTTTTGGAAAGACAAAACATGGTCTTTCAAGGTAACCACAAAAATTTGGAGTTAGTGCAGTAGAGGGAAGGAAGTAATTCAGTTGAAATATAGAATTGCTCCTATTCATAAAAATTTTAGTGTTGGCTTTCCCTGTTTAGGGCAGGAAAACCAGGACTTGCTGAAGGCAAGTGGGGAACTTTATTGCTTTGAGGTAGTTGAGAGCTCCAAGTCTATGGACTAGTATTTCCAAAACTGTGGGCCAAATAATTGAGTAAACCTTCACCTTTTCCTCCACATGCAGATTCAGTCTAACTTAATTCCCCTTTCTTCTTGCTGAAGATGAAAAACTGTGTGCTAAGGCAAGCAGTATTTGTGATTTTCAATATTTATTGATTGCTGACCTTTTCTTATTCACGTTGAAGGATTTCTGTGGCGCCTTGGAAGAGCTCTGTGTGCCATGAGGGACTCAGTGTGTTCTGTTTCTCTTTTCAAAACAGATGTGAGGGCTGTGACTCAACACTCAGCATATTCATAGGCTGTGCCGTGAATTCATTCAAAGCCGGTTCTTTTGCTTTGTTGTTTTCTGGTTACTTGGTCAGTATCACACTCGAGTGTGCCTGTTGCTAGTGAGGATGATACACTGGGCTTGGCTAGACACAGGATGTTTTCTCTGGTCTTTTACTTGACAACCTTAGTGCAATATATGCACATACATGTTGCATATGAATTTAAGAAGAGCTGGTCTGATCCAACTCCTTTCAGTCCAGTTGGTGCTGGATTGACACTTCCTTGGTAATGCTGGACCAGTAAAGTTTGCCTGGGGAATTCCTGTGTGTATCTAGCACTTTTTTTGGGCTCTACAAGCCTTGGTAGGGATTTGTCAAGGAACTGGGTGATGATTAGTTTGATGTTAGGACTGGTTTATACTTGCTGCTGTGGTACCTGGGCATGGGATAAGCCTTGTGTGTATGTACATCTGTGTTAGTTCAGGCTTTAGGTGTGGGGACAGCTGCTGTGATAGATCTGAGCTCTTTAGTCCAGAATGAAGAGAAGTGGTAAATAAATGATCTGAAGCTGTGTGCATTGGTAGGCACAGCTCCTGTGCCCTGCCTGGGGGCTGTGTCTGTGCAGACACCGGCAGTGTGTCCATGTGCCAGGCAGCCAGTGTCCCCCACCTGCCCCTGAGCAGGCCAGCAGGGCACAGTATTAACATGGATCCTGCTTCTGAGTCCCAGGGATCATTCATTATCCAGAGCACGATCTGGGGCACCTTCCAGTCCTGCAGCTTGTTGAATGGGAGCTGACAAAATGTGCTCCTGATGTGTGGCTGCAGCTTTTCAGGAAGGAGCACATGGGGTTAAGGAACTAAGAGGCAGCCCTGCTGGGCTGTGCCTTTGCCACCTCAAGGAACGCTGCTGCTTTTGGTGTTCCAGGGGCCCCTAATGTGAGTTAGGTATTGGAACAGTGCTGCCTTGTTACAGCCTTGTAAGCAAGCCCTTTGGGCTGCTTTCTCAAAATCCTTCCTCTGCTCTGGTTGTGCTCACAACCCTAACTGGACTCGAGTTGGTGGAAGGTTGGAGGAAAGCCTGGCAATGGGGTCAGGTGCTCTGTTGCCAGGTTTGTCTTAATTCTGCCTTTTTGTGCCTGGGGGCAGTGTCCCAGAGAGCTCCCTCCTCTCTGTGGGTGTAACTGGAATCTTGCTGAGTTCATGTATCGCCCTTCCCTCTGTGGCGGGTCCCATGTTGGGCTGTGCCTCCAGCTTTGAGCAAAGTATAGATCCAATGACTTAATGGCCCGTGGTGCAGCTGTTTCAAGGCTATTTTAAGAGCATGACAGTGAAATACTTAAGGAAATGGCTGTTGGATTTTCCCTCTCTGCTGCCTTGCTGGACTGTATCTGTGGTGGTGTGGCACTGTGCAGCCAGAAGGGCTGGAAAAGGGCAAAGGACTGGAAGAGAGAGAAGTGTTTCTAATGGCCATATAGCAATGTGCCTTCCTGCTGTCTCCCAGCTGGCTTCTGTCCTTCTGATGGGAGTTGTTTTTCACTCTTAAGGTGGCAGGTTCTCAAGTCTAGCAAAAACTGGGCCTTCTCTGGTCCTGGCTGGTGTCAGCTGGCCTGGAGTCACAGCCTGACTCGTGTGTTATGTCACTGTGCAGTGTTTCAGGGCTCACGTGAAGGAGCCTGCAGCTCTCTGTGCTGTGCCTGGCTGAGGGAATGGTGGGGATGCTCCAAGGGGTAGGTTTGCCCTTCCCTGTGTGTGGCACTGCAGCAGCCTGAGGGTAGGGGCACCGCAATTGAAGCAGGAGGAGAGCAGTGGGTCGGCAGGGGCAGCTGGCAGGAGCAGCAGCTCCCATTTTATCCCTCAGCCCGGCACAGGCGGGCAGAGAGGGAATGTTGCACGTCGTCCTCCTGTCAGGAGAGAGATTGGCCAGAGAGGCACAGAGCATCTGGTTCTCATTGGGCTTTGCCTTTGGATGGTCTTCATTCTTGTTTGTCACATTATGTCTTTTTTTTTTTCCCCTTCCTTCCTCTCTCCCTTTTTTTTTTTCCCTTCAGCGAGTTTACAAGCCTTGCTGGAATGCACATATGGTCCTTATCATCCCCAAGTCCAGCTTTTTTTTTCTTTTGCTGGTTAGCAGTTTGTGACATCAGGGGCTGTTAGAAGCATTAGTCACTTTGCCTCCAAATAGAAAGGTCTGTGGTTTTTGGAAACCTATGGAGGAAAATGTCTTTTATGTCAGTCCTTGGCATACATGGAACTGTGAGTGCTCTGAGCTTGTGCTGACCTTTAGCCAAACTTTTTGCCTGAAGACAAATGCTCGTTCCCACTCTCTGCTGCCCCTCCTGAGTGGTCGGATTTTGCTGACTTCCCTCTTTCCAGAAGAATGCAACTGTATCCTTTTCCCTCCATGCTCCTGCCGAGTTCCAGCCGCTTGCCAATATAAGCAGCTCCCCTCGCTTCCCCGCTGGCGTGCCCGGAGGCGCGGGGCTGGATGGGCCGCGGGAAGCGTGTCCTTGCCGTGTGACAGGGGTAGCTCTCGCAGCTGTGAGCGCTGCAAACCAGGACATTTGGTGCTGCGTGTTCGGGAGGTGGGCCCTGTGCTTCCCACCCCCTGTGGCATCTGTGCTGGGAGAGCTTGGAGCTGCTTGGGCTGGGGCACGCTGGCTCTGTGTGTGTGGGCTGCACCTAAGCAGGGACCGGCTTGTGGTGCCTGCTCGTTGTCCCTTCTGCCATCCTGCTCCTCGTTCAGGGGGTCAGCCCTGGAGAGAGCATTGCTCCCCTGTGTTACTGCCTGTGGAAGTGTGTCCAGCATCACCAGAGCCTCTGGGGGCATCTGCTCAGGGGAACCCCTTACTTGGTCTCAGTGGCAGCCTCCTCTGGCTGGAGGTTCTGCAGTTCCATGAGATTTTATCTGTAGAGCATTATTTTCTGCAAGGAGGGCAGCATGAGTCCCACACCTGATCTTCCCCATCTGCTGCTGCCCAGTGCTCTGTTGGTCAAGTTGCTTCCAGCCTTCCTTCCACAGAATAACCTTTTCTGCCATCCTGATTGTTTGGGCTTAAAAGCAAAATCAGGGAGAGCCTTTTTGTATTCCCTGTGACCTCCCTGTTTAATGAGCAAGGGAGCCAAGTGTGGTGTAGCTCTGCTGACAGCATTCCCTGTTCCTGGGAGCAGAGACCTGGCTCCTTGCTGTTGTGGTTGATGTTGCTGGAGGGCTGGGGCCGGGGCCTGGTGAGGAGCTGTGTGTCCCTGGGCAGCTGCAGCTGGTGCCAGCTTTTATCCAGGAAGATCAAGATGGTTTCCTGCAGCCCATCCCTCAGGGACAATAGCTGCAGCAGTGAGTCACTGGTGGCTTGGTGGCAGGCAGGGAGGCACGGATCTTCATGGCTTGACTGACACATTAATGTACAGAATGAGAGCATGCCTTCCACAGGGGTCTGCTCTCCCCGTTGAGAGAAGGGGGGGGGGGGGGGGAAGAAAGCAAGGGGGAAGAAAAACAACCAAGGACCTCCCAGACTTGAGTTACTTGTGCAGACGTTTGCCCGAGCCTGCAGCCAGCCAGCAGCAGCAGCGTGGAGCCAGGAACTCCCCCTCCTCTGCTGGTGACACTGATGGTTATCTTACCCTGAAACAACAGCCAAGAAGTCCTTCCTCTCTGAACTGATTAACTGATTGATTGCTATCAGCCCTCTTCTTCTGGCATCCCTGCATGCCTAGGAGGGGAAGGGAGTTGTTCTTGCTTCCTATGTTCTCCCCGTGCTATTCATAAATCCATTTGTCCAACAGTTAAGGGTTTGGCCATCCCTTAACTCTGTGTAAGGAAGGGGAGTGGAGTTATGGGTGCTGTTGGGAGGAACAGGGAGCTTGGCTCTGGCTTAGACACTGGGAATACTTGGTACCTTCCTGGCAGGGAGGTCAGCTCTTGGATTTAACTCTGGGAGGGGGATAGATCTTTGTCCTCCTGACTACTCCGTGCTTCTGTGTTCCTGCTCTTGCCTGAGCTGCTTTTTTATCTGAGCAGACTAAACTATCCCTGAGGTCCCTGGCTGTGGATGCAGCATCTAAGATGATTTGACCTAGTAATGAGTCAAAAATGTTGCTGGTCTGAGCTGCTGACAACAGTAAAAGCTTTTAGAATTTCTTAAAGGTGCCTCCTAAGTCGTGTGGCCTCAAATAACTAAACACTTGCTTCATATTTGCTGTTGAGCTCAATATTTTGCATACCAGCCTTGTTCCCCTCTTGAATTTGAGGCTGGTTTTTGTTTTCTTTAACTCTTGGGAGGCCGTGTGAAGCTGACCCCCAGCCTCCAGCAGCAGTGGGCCGGGAGGGGCCCAAGGGGAATGTTTTGCCAGCAGCCTTAAAGCAAAAGGGGCTCAGCCAGGAGCTTGCTTGGACTGGGGAATAGCCACCATCATGGTTGAGTCCTGAGCGAGGGGACAATAAATGTCCTTGTGGAACTTTCCCTTTGGCCTTTTGGGAGTGGGGCTTTTTTCCTGCCTAGGAGAGGAGCAACTTTGCTTTGTTTCCAATCAACTGCCAGGCACTTTTGGAAGCATAAGGACTCAGCTCTGCTTTGTGCTGCCTCTGGAGGAGTGACATGGGACCCACCTTTACCTCCAGCTCCCCATTCACACAGAGATGTGCTGTTCCTGACTCCAGGGAGGAGAAAAACTTCATTCCTGCTGGCCCTGCCAAGCTGTTGTGGCTTGAGAGGAATGAGCTGACTTGCCTTGCACGTGCCTCATCAGCTGAATTGTTTTATAGGGCTTCACTGATTCCTGTCCAGCCAAACCCACTGTTTGCCACAGACCATCCATTAGAGCATTGCCTGACCTGTGAAACCATTTCCACCAGGAGTTATGTGTTAAGAAAAAGATATCTAAAAGAGCCTTGAGAGGGTTCTGAGATTGCAAACCCATTCTTGTCTTTTGCAGGGCTTTTTTACCCCCTTAAAATTAAGAGCAGTGGGATGTGAGTGCCTGACAATCAATCTTTTTATATAAAGTGATGGGAGGTAGTATTTGCTGTGCCTCTGGGGGCCTGTCTCTGCTCAACTTACCCCTTCCCTTCCCCTGCTGCAGTTAAAGCCAGCAGCTGTGATAACAGCAGCTCCAAGATCGTTGTTGATCCAAGAAATATCGACTGTGGGATGCCTTGTAGGGCTTTCTGCAAAGAGAAGTCAAGTGATCAGCATCTTTTCCCAAGAAACAAGCATTTATTTGTTCATGTCACTCCCTAGTTTTTGTAGGGGTTAGCACATAGCTCTGGCTGTTCAGAATCCCTTTCTGCTCATGGATGGTATGGGAAGAGGGAGGGAAACAGTGCCCTGTAATGCAGGGTTCAGTACAAGAGACGTGACTGCCTTGAGGAAGAGTTTAAAAATACAGACTGCTTTTGGGATGTCTTAAGCTCTCCAATGTGTGAGAACATCCAGACACCCAAGTCTAGCAGCACATCTGGTGCAAGCTGGCTGGTGTCTGCAGGAGTCTGTGGAGCTGCTGTTTCACCCATGCTCATCTTGTCCATGGATCCTGAAGCTGGGAGCAAGGGAGCAGAACACCTGTGGGTTTGATTATGACCCATGGAGCAAATTACCAGCTTTGTGTGAGGACCTGGAAGCTGCAGAAGTTTAAGTAGTGTAATAATAAAATTATCACTGGGTGAAAGGGTGGATTTTGGTGTTTTTTTGGAATGGGGAGTTTTTGGGAACAAGATGGAAGGACTTGGGTGTGTCCAGCCTTTCTTCTTCTTCTTCTCTGCCTCCATCTCCTGCTGTGATGCTGGCACTTTGGGGTTGGTTTAGAATAGAAGTTCACTGTCTAAGATAGGTGATAGGTATTGGAAAGTGATTGTAAACATGTTATATGTAGTTCATAGTATAAAGAGCCAGCACTGCCCCGAGGGTGGTCAGAGTGCTGCTTGCTGTCCTGCTGAGCAGACCTTGGCTGGACAGGAGAAAATTTTTATAGATAAGATATAATAAACAACTCTGAGACTGAAAACTGAAGAACTCAGCCTCATTCTTTGGACACATGGGCCAAAATAGAGACTTTTCACGTATCTCGGGGCTGCAATAACCAGCAAACTCCTGAGAGGTGCACACAGGGCTCTGGGGTGGAGCAGGAGCCATGTCAGCCTTTGACTGCTCTTCAGCCCGAGGTGCCCAGTTCCCAGAGGGGTGGCTCAGCTGGGATCAAACCCAGCCCACTGACTGTGCTCAGGAGCTTGTCATGGCAGTTCACAGCTGGAGAGGCAGGGCCATCTGACTGAGCATCCCCTTGTTGGTACAACACTTCTGCTCTGCCAGACCGAAAGCGTGAATCACTTGCCTGCTCTGCTGCTGATACCCTGAGCAATCAGGCTTGTTGCTCTCCAGCAGAGGCTTCCTTTCCTTGTGGATGAAGCTATATCCCCTTGAAGGGGTGAAAGCAGGAGCAGAGACCTGGCTGCAGTGGGAAGTGGTTATGCAGCATGTGCACCTCTTTACTCTGGGGAAAAGCAGCCTGCAGCTCCCCCAAAAATGTGTTAGCTTTCCAAGGGCATCTGCCTGCTGCAGAACTGGTTCTGTTTGTGTGTGGAGGAGATATCTAGAAATGTAGTTCCTTTGGCTCTCCTGCCTCCTCCAGAATGCGTATCTGTGGGCCTTGTGCAGAATTGCAGCTATTTTCTGTGTCTGCTTTGCTCAGGGAGATGCACTGCATCCTGGGAACACAGAGGGAGGTGAATGCTGGGGTTTGTGTTTCATCTCTGCCTGTGCCTCAGGCCTCAGATCTTTTCACAGATCTTTTCTTTGATGTTTTGAGCAGATATCAGGCTACTCCTGTCTCCTGTTGTGCAGCACAGCCTGTGAAAAATACTTGGCATTGCAAAGTGCAGAGTTAGTTTTTGTTTATTCCATTGTTGATGTTTGCCACTTGCAGATGAAAAAAAAATGGAGAAGGTCTCCAGCAAAAATAACTGACACAGATGCAAGAGATGAGTCTAACTCCTGTTCCTGCTGAGCAACTGATGATAGGCAGTACTTGCTTTCCCAAAATATATCAGGGAAAGAGATACTGGTGCTGTGCTGAGGGATGTTCAACACCCACTACTTTCTGTGAAGCCTGTGAGTCATGGGCACTTTTTGCTTTTGGGATCTGCTCCACGCTCCCTTCACTTATCATAAACCCAAGCCCAGCAATTTTTTTAGAAATACTCCTGTTACAAATATTTAATTTCACCCATTCATGTAATACATCAATCCCAAGACCTTTTCCAGGGAAATCCCTGTTGGGGGTGAATGAGATGATGGTCTTTCTGGGTGGTTATTCTTTACCCAGCCTGAGTGAAGGAGATAGCATCTCTTAATCACCTTAAGCTTCTGTGGTGTGGTGCTGGTGAGTAGCTCCCAGCTTACAGAGGGATGGAGGTGAGCAGGCTGGTAAATTGGCATTTAGCTGTGGACAAGCCTGGTTTAGATGCTGAGAGAAGGCTCAGGTGCCTAACACAGGTGCCAGGCTCTGTGTGCCAGCATGGCAGAAAGGATCCCTTTGCCTAGGCTCCTGGCACAGACTGAGGCATTTTCATTTGGAGATGTTGCTTTTCTCAGGGAATTTTGGTATTTCTTTAGGTCTGAGTTTATTTTCATGACACTCAACCCAAATGTAACTCATTTCTCCCTGCAATTGATGCCTGGTCCATTGTGTTCTGAGGAGAGAAGTGGAGCTGCTCAGCAATTTTGCAGAGAATGGGAAGTCCTCCTCTGCTTTTGATTCTTAACAACCAAAGAGTTGTCTATGTCTGGTCCAAAACCCACTTTGTGGAAAGAAGCTGGAGCTTGCCAGCATCTTTAAACTAGGCTGAGACTGCCCACGACTGTAATTTATTGTGGCCTTGGGGGAGTGACTCCATTGGAAGGGTTTGGGTTTGGAGAAAGCTTCCAAATTAAGGACAACTAACTTTAGGAGAAAAATGTTGTGAAATAACAGCAGAACTGCTCCATGTCTACCAAGCTGGTGGGGTTTTTTTGCTTGCTTGTTTTACTGGGGACCTTGGCATAACCATGACTTGCCAGGGAAGGAGGTAACTGGGCCAGGTTGCTTTTCCAAGCCTCTTTGTGGAATGCCATATAGCTGCTGCGGGAAGGGCCCAAACACAAACTGGGGGTTGTGTCAAACCTCCCTTCTGCAAGGTTTGTGCTGCTCCCTTGCCCTCCACAGAGCAGCTTTGGGGTGTTGGATGTTGTCAGCTCAAGCCCCGAGGAGGAGAGCGGGTCATGAGGGGTGACTGGCACCACTGGGCTGCCTGACCTGACTTCTTTTCCTGCTGAGGACGTGCACAGGCAGCACCGGGGGCTCTGTAGGTCACACAGGAAACACTGGGAACGGTGCCCTGCTTCCTCACCTCGTGTCAGATCAGGTTATTTGTAAACCAAGGCATGGCAGAGCAGCTTGCTCATTTTATTCCCGTTCTGTCAAAGCCTGGAAAAGCCGGAAAGAATTTTAGCTGGCTCTGGTGGCACAGTTGCTATCTGAGCTGTGTCCTGCTGTGGCCATGCTGAAGGGTTGCAGGAAAGGGCCAAGAATGTTGGCATTTCCCTTGAAGTCCTGGGAGGACAGAGCACGTGTGAGAGCTGCTCCTTCCCTTTGGCACACTGAACCAAGCAAAGCACCACCTTGGCTCTGAGCTCGCCTACACAGGTATCTGTCAGGAATAGCTTTTGGAGCTGCAAGCAGTGCCATATCACAACCTGTGTCACTCCTCAGTGTGCTTCTTGAGGGAGCCAGCCTCACTGGGAAGTTTGGGAGTTTCCCATGCTGCTGGGGAAATTCTGAAGTGGAAGTTGGCTGGTTTCTGCTGTGTAGCTGTGTAGTGGACATGAAGGAGGCAGCTTCAGCTGCTTCACCAGCTGAACAGGAACTGGTCAGCTCACAGCTCTGTGTTCCACTCTGTTTTCCAGGTGTCTGCCAAAATAATATTAGGGTAAAGAATCTGGTTTATTGGTGACAAGCACGGAGAACCAGTGTGGTGATGTTTGGTTTGGGGATGTTTTAGTTCTTGAGCCCCACAGCAGAGATGGATAGAAGGAAAAGGAGAGTGTGTTTGGGAGGGACACCCACACAGATCCTGTGTCCCAAATGCCTCTGTGTCCTTAATGCAGTTCTGACAGGACCTATTCCCTGCCAGGGGTGTTGCAACCCTGCTGAATGCTTTTCTGCTTTTCTCCTGGCTCTTTCAGAATGATGACCTCAGGAACCTGTCCCTGTCCGGCCACGTGGGCTTCGACAGCCTCCCAGACCAGCTGGTCAACAAGTCAACATCACAGGGCTTCTGCTTCAACATCCTGTGTGTGGGTAGGTCACCTGCTGGGCCCTCAGGGGCTGCAGCCCCACACTCACACCTTCTCCCCCTGCCCAGGGCAGGGCTGAGCCCCTGCAGGCTGTGCTTGTCTTCCCAGAGCTGCTCCATGGTGAAATGGGGTGTTCCTCTTTCCCCTTTCTCTGCCCTGTCCCCTGAGTCAGAGCATGGCAAGTGCTAGCTGTTAAAATCTATCCCTCTGATCATCCAGTGGTTCTGCTTTCCCCAAAGGCTGCCTGTAAGGAAACTGAAGTTGGGAACTAAATGTATTTTTAAAAGGATACTCACTTAAATCTGCTTTTCTCTGGATTGAGTGTGGAGGGTGTTTCTCACCAAATTGCATTCCTTCCCTTCCAGGGTTTGCCTGTATCCTTACATTCTTAGTTTCTCCACTTGGAAACGATGCCATTTTTAGTCTCCTAATGATATACTGGAGAACAAAGCTTGTCACCTATCCTCTGCTGTATTTAATGTGGAAGTTGGTTTAATAGCCTGAGTTGCTTTTCCCAAATTGTTCAGAGGGTGAAATACAAGGAGGCAGCAACTTCTCTTGGCTGTGGGGAGGTAGCTGCTGTCTTGGTACGCTGTGGCTGCTCCACAGCTGGAAATCCATTGCTCAGCCCCGGGAGCTGTGAGCCAAGCCAGCTTTGGCTTGTCAGTGAACCCAGAATCTGGTTCTGTAAAGAGACAAAACTGCTGGGTTTTTCTCTTAGCTTGGCAGTGCAGGCTGCAAACATCATCTTTCCATTCATTGTTCATTCAAGCCTCCAAGAGGGGAGTATTGTCCCTTCTAATTAGTTACATTAATTAGCTGGAAAAACCCCACAACCCTCTGACTGTGATTTTTCTACAGCAAATTGAGAATTTCTGTGAGCTGCCTGAAAAGAAATCTAGCAAACTTGACTCCTCTCTGTAGCTCTGTGTGTGAAAGGAGGAGATAAGAGAGTAGTTGCACTTGTGCACACTCGAGCTCCCAGCCCTCACGTGACTCTCATAGCAGCATGAAACCATTTCAATCCAGCAGGGAACAGCCTGATTAGCAGGCAGCTCTTTGATCAAAATGGCATAAATTAATTGCCTTTCTCTCTTGAAGTAAATATGCCTTTCTTAGCGTGACTTAATATGTCTCCATTAGCAATTTGATCCACCTCTTTTTTCCCTTGTGAAATGTGCCCATCCACCGATTTTCACCCCATATTAATGTTCCACACAAACTGCTGCAGTTGGCCAAGGAACAGAAATCTCAGCCTTGAAAAAAAATTACTGTTAAAAATTGTGATTTGAGAGAGGACACAAATTCACTGTTGTAATGTGAGACTTCTAATTGGGATGTGAAATGCTGCAGAGCTTATCTGGCATAGAACACAGCAGTTCACATCAGGAGCTCCCTAAAATTCGCAGCTTCAGCCACAGGCAGTCTGTACCATCAGTTTAGGACTTGGCTTTCTGTGTGAGTTGCCTCAGCTCACCCCTGCTCACAGCATGGGTAGCAATAGCTGTTTGAGAGTGTAATTGCTAAACAAACAGTTTTGACTGAAAAATGGGATTTAGGCTAATGCTTTCATCCATGTTGCTAATTGCACTGGGGATTAGTGAAACTAATAGTTTTAAAAGTTGGTATTTAACCAGTGTGCCTTTTTCTTCAAGAACTCTGGATATATTTCTCTGTATCAGATTTTTATTGTCTTAAGTTGCACTATGGGTATTGGATGATCTTCTTGAGACAATAAAACTGCCTGAAAAACGCTGAAACAAAATGAGGGAATCAGGTGTGGAGTTGAGAGAATTGGCAATTTGATACCATTAAGAAAGTTCCTGGGTCAGTCCTGGGGCAGTGGTCAAGAAGGGGACTGTCTCTGAAGACATCTGTTCCTGCAGGGATTATCTTGCTTAGCGATGTGCATGTAGCCTAATTCCACTGCTGCCCAAGTGGAATAACTCCTTAACCTGGGGAACGTGCCACAGAAAGAGGTGAGGGAGGCCCTGTCCTGACACTTCTGTCACTTCTGTGTGCTCAGGTGAAACTGGCATTGGCAAGTCGACGCTGATGGACACGCTGTTCAACACCAAGTTCGAGAGCGAGCCCGCCACGCACAACGAGCCTGGTGTCAGGTTGAAAGCGCGCAGTTATGAGCTCCAGGAGAGCAACGTGCGCCTCAAGCTGACCATCGTGGACACCGTGGGCTTTGGTGATCAGATCAACAAGGATGACAGGTAATCTGAGTTCTGCTGGGACACACATCCCCCTGCTGGTGCCCTCTGAGGTGGGCAGCAGGTTCTGGGGGTGTTTCCCATCCCAGATACTGTTTCTGCCTAACCCTGTGGAGAGAGGGGTGGGCAGCAGGGCTTAGGGAGAGCTTTTGTTCTCCTGCTGTGTCCTGGCACATACGACTGTGGTGGGTGTGATTCGCTCTGTCCTCCAGTTTGAGGCTTCCCAGTCGTCCTTTGCTCTGCTTTTTTTACGGGGTTTTCTCTAACATTTCTCCCAGTGTGAGGCCTTACTGCTTTCTTTGCGCATGTCTCTAAGGTTTTTGGTGTCTCATGGTCAGAGGCAGAATTTCCATAAGCCAGGAAACCAGAGAGACAGTCATTTTACAAACCCACCTAGTGATGTCCATGAAGCTGCCCTTGGTGGAGGGGGAACACATGGAGCAATTTTCTTTCCAGAAGCACAAACAGTTAATTTGAATAAGGACATGTTACGCTGCATGAGCTGCCTTTTCTCCAACAAAATGGTCCCACCAATGTCCATGAATGATGCAGTTGTCTTCTGAGCTTTGCTCATAGCCTTTAGTTCCTGACAAGTCCCTCTTATCTTGTGACTCTCCCTTCCCTCTTTTAAGATGATGAGATTTTGGACAAGCTAGAGGGTAGGTCATGTATTCATGTTTAAGTTTTTTTGTTAGATGATTTTCAGTGAGATTGGCAGAGCAGCAGCTCAGACTTGAATTGGACTGCCAAAGGCATTGTTCTTCAGGTGAGCAGTCTTGTGTGGTTTCCATGCACCTGAAATTGAGGGCTGTCATATCTGTTGTGCTTTGCCTGTGCACCAAGTGGAAACACACCCTTGTGAAGGAGGGACTGTAGGTTGGTAGGGATTATCCTAAAGCAGTGCTTGTCCTGTGCCATACAGAGCTCCTGAGTGTCCATCAGTGGCCTGTGTGGTCCCAGCTCCAATTCCCTGCTTTTCTCTGTGCTTTCTCTCCCCAGCTACAAGCCCATAGTGGAATACATCGACGCCCAGTTTGAAGCCTACCTGCAGGAAGAGCTGAAGATCAAGCGGTCCCTGTTCAACTACCACGACACACGGATCCACGCCTGCCTCTACTTCATTGCTCCTACTGGACACTCGCTCAAGTCCCTGGATCTGGTCACCATGAAGAAGCTGGACAGTAAGGTACTGGCTGCCTGGGTCACCACGGCCCTGTAGTGCTTTCATTATCTTGCCATCTGCTTGGGAAAATCATGTCAGGGTTTAGTAGTGGAGAACTGCAGACAAAAAGTGTGAGAGGTGTACCTGGGGCAAGCTGCTACAATGGGTCATTATTCTGCTTCACGTGCTGCACAGATTTATTGAGAGTTTGGACTCCTGCTCTTTTCCAGCTCTACTTTGGGTGGGGAGCTTGGCCACGTGCTCCCCAGCTCATCTTTAAAGTCAATAAAGACAGTTGAGGTTGTCTTTCTAGTCAGTTAAAAACAAATGGGGGTGCTGTGTCTGCTTGCTCTGACCTCATCCAGCTAGACAAAAACAGTGATTTGATCTGCTATGGCAAATGTAGTGGTGTTCTAGCTGTAAAGTCATAAACAAGAATCTGAATAAATATGTTAGTTGGCATCTTCCTGGTACCGTCTACCTGGCTCTTCCAGGTACCCTCATGGGCTTGGTTTAAACCATGGTTCAAAAGAGATTGCCCCTCTTCTAGGAAAAATAACTGAGGTACAAATGTAGAGCCTGAGTAGCTAAACTGAGCCTTCTCTGTGCTCCTTTCCATCATGATTAAGTAATTTAAATCAGTCCACTGTGCACCTCATTGGCTCCTGATTCTGCAGGACATCAATGATGACAGTGGTTCTTTGTTTCCTAGAGAGGCCAATCGATTGGGTTTTATGTGGGGAGGGAGAAAGTTCCTTGCCTTCTTCAACTGAAAATAAGGTTACGGAGATTTATCCCAAGTGAGCTAATTGACATTCCTGGTCTGTCTTTTGGCCAAGGGGGATTTAATAGCTCCAAACAGAATTAAGTGACGTACTAGAAGAGGATTTTTAAGTACTATAGTTAAGATCCCTCCATATGGGTCGATATTACTGTTATCCTCAGTACAGTTTCTGTCTGCTGTTGCAGGGAAAAGCAAACCTGCAAGATCAAAAGCAGAAACTGTCCCTCTGAAGGGAGGAGACAGGGAAAGAAGGCAGGATCTTTATCCTTGCCAACAGCCTGCCTAGGGAAGAGAGGCAGTAACTCATCTTTCATCTCAGAGCTGTGCAGGGAGGAGTGATCCCTGGTTCTGCAGTGTCCAGGGGCACATAAGGGTACACAGGTGGGGGAAGTGTGCCTGTGTTACTGCCAGCCCCTGTCCTGTGTGTTCCAGGGCTGGATAGACACCATCTGCTTCCACCTCCTGTGGGGTGACAGCAGCTCTGCTGCCCCTCTGGTGTCCCTGGTGACATTCCCCAAGTGGGGGTCTGTGACAGGCTGTTGTCTGAGCATGGCTCCAGCTGAAATCCAGCCAGCTGCAGTACCAGGGGATGTGCAGATATGGTCATTTCCTTTCTCTTTTTTTTTTTGGAGCAGTTCATAATAATCTATGACAACATTTCCTGTCCAGCCAATTCAGATGAGGAGGGGAGTATGACAGGACAGGAAATAGCATGTTGCCAAATTGCATTTGACTTCTTTCTAAGGCCATCACTGCTGCCTGGAAATCCTGCCTGAGGTGGTGCTGCTGGCAGCAGCAGCCCCAGGGAAGTTCATCTGCTGGGGGTGCTGGCTGGTGGCACTTCAGGGCTGTCACTGTGTGTCCTGCTCTGTCCTCTCCCAGAGACGCAACCTGTGCTGTCCTGTCTTGCAGGTGAACATCATCCCCATCATTGCCAAGGCCGACACCATCGCAAAGAACGAGTTGCACAAGTTCAAGAGCAAAATCATGAGCGAGCTGGTCAGCAACGGCGTCCAGATCTACCAGTTCCCCACCGATGAGGAGACAGTGGCCGAGATCAATGCCACCATGAGTGTATGTTATCTGGGGGGGGGTGCCTGCCCTTGCCTTGCTTGGTCCTGTCCTTGATGGCCCTGCTGGGTCTTGCTTGGCTTCAAAACTGCAATTTAAGCACGGACATCAGCCTGGCCAGAAGGCTTTTGGGAGCTGGCAGTACCTGGTCTGATACGTTTCCTTGTGTGACAAACCACTTCTCCCCCATTGCAGTTCTCACATCCTTCCCCTGTTGCAGTATTCCCGTCTCAGGAAAGGAAGAGGATGGGAGGCAGGGCCTAAGTGTGGTCAGGGCAGAGAGCTGAGGTTTGGCTTTCCTGTCCCAAACGACCACTGGCTGCTTCATGGGGGTGATTCATTCGCTGCCGCCTTTGTTTTGGTTTCCGCTGGGAGTGGGGTACCGGCACTGATGTTCCAGCTCTCCACAGCCCATCAGTGGCTCTGGCTGTTACCTCCTCTAGAGGCAGTGTCCTCCCCTGCCTCTGGACACTGGGTGGGAGGGCACTAAGGGCTAGACTGGACCTAACATTTTAGGGGGGGGTTACCAAGGGAAGCAGCTCTTTGCCAAGGGCCTGACTCAGGGTGCAAAGGGAAGAATCTGAGCTCAGGGTTGCTGGCAGTGAGGTGTTGATTGGCCCCAAGAGGATGTGCCAGTCTTAAAGCAAGTGCACTCACATTAAGCTATTTCTTTGCTACTTGAAGGCTGCTGTGAGTTTTGCTGCTCAAGGGCTTGTAGATGGGCATTATCTCATCCAGCTGAATGTTAGACCCTCTCCAAAGCTCCTTATTGCCTCTCTTGCTGTTTTGAGCAGGGAGAAGCTGGCACAGAGAAGGCATGTTGTTCTACCAGTGTGCACTGTGTGCAGAGCTCTGCCTTCCTCAGGTGCAGCCTGGCTGCTGGGAAACCCCTTTGCCAGATAATCCTGTGTCCTCTGCCCTGACATCTTCCCCTCCCACCCAGGCTGTGACCACAGCTTGGCTGACACAGCTCCCGCTCCCAGAGCTTGCACCCAGCCCCTTTGGATGCTGTTAAGGCAGGGAGAGTTCCGCTGGGCTGGGCTGGGCTGGCAGCTGAGGCGGACTCCCTCCTGGCAGCAGCCACACTTCTGGGAATAGATCCCAGATTGCTGCCACCACACCCACAGAGAGACCTGGACGGAGCAGAGCTCCATGACTCAGATGTGTCAGCCGGGGGCTGGGTCAGCTCCGCTCTTCCCCTTGCTCACAGCTTTGCCCTGTGTAAGAGGAAGCATTAGCAGTTCTTTGTAGCAGCAAAATCCCCCTGAATTTTGTCTTCCTTGAGAGGATCGAGTGTATTTTCTTTTTTATTGTTTCATGGTTCTTTTTTCTCGGTGTTCAAATTCAGTTCCAGTTTGTAAGACTTGTTCTGTGCTTAAGACAGTAGTGCTTTGTAATTAAATGGAAAACAATGTACGTATCTTGTGTTTTTACGACTTCAGAATTTTGGGCTTTAAGTCTGATCAGGTTTCTCATCCAGATTGTCCTGTTGCTCTTCCTGAAACACCAGACAAATTGTAAAGGCGTTTAAACAACTTAAATTTAGCAGAGCTGCCCCAGTAAACAGCTTTCTTGAGAAACAATCTCTGGCAAGGCAGCAAAGGAAACCCCCGGCCTCATTGTCCCTTTCCTTTTGTAGGTCCACCTTCCTTTTGCCGTGGTTGGCAGCACTGAGGAAGTGAAGATTGGCAACAAGATGGCGAAAGCCAGGCAGTACCCCTGGGGTGTTGTGCAGGGTATGTTACCAAGGGCACGAGCCAGGCCTTCTCACCCTGTCCCCTTCTGATCCAAGAATAACCAGTTCTGTTACTTCCATTTCTGGATGGCCCTTACCAAAATCTGAGAGAGCACAGCTTAGATCTGAGCATGGGCATCTGGACATGCAGCCAAAAGCTCCTTCCTGCAGGAGGGCAGAGTTTGGCCAGGACACTGTTTGCAGCCCAGGCTTTACTGAAGCTGCCAAAAATCCGGAGCTGATCCTTGCTTTCCAACTAGCACTGAGAAGTACAGGATTGAGATGGTGATGGTCTCCTTGTGGCTTCGGTTGTGTATCCCATTGGAGAATGGCCCAGGAAGCTGCAGGGGAGCATTCACAGTACAGTTCTGTACAACTCTCTGATTTCTCAGTAATACCAGCTGCCCCTGAAGCAGCTTCAGAGACCTCAGCTGTGTTTACCAGAGGATGGTACTGGGAAAAACAGTTAGGAGAGAAGCTGATGTATTTGGAAGGTCTTGGACTTGACCTGTATCCTTCTGGGTTCTTACTGTTCCCGGAAAACTAGGACCAGATAGCTGGAGATTGAGTTTAGACTTGGCCTCTGCAAGCCCCTGTGAGTGCTAGGATTTTGAGTGGGTTTGGGTGGGAAGTGAAATCCTGTGAGCAAACAGATCATCACCTTGCTGGTGGCAAAATGGGTGGGGAGGTGGGAGCCCTGTGACAGATGGGCAATGCACAGATCTTGCAAATCCAATGCAGGCCTTGAACTCGGGCCCGTGCTGGCGTGGGATGACTTCAGCCCCAGTTCAGCAGGGCGTTTTGGTGCGAGCTGACTTGGAGTTGTGCTTGTGTGCCTGAAGAGCTCTGAGGTTTGCTGCACTGGGGCCCAGATCCAGGGAAGGGGGGAGCCCAGCTCCCGGGTTTCACATTCTCCCTGTGGATATTGTGTCGTTTTTGCAGTTGAAAATGAAAACCACTGTGACTTTGTGAAGCTGCGGGAGATGCTGATCCGAGTGAACATGGAGGACTTGCGGGAGCAGACGCACACCCGGCACTACGAGCTGTACAGGCGCTGCAAGCTGGAAGAGATGGGCTTCAAGGACACAGATCCAGACAGCAAACCTTTCAGGTAGGGATGTGCAACCCAGGCACTGCTGTGCTCTGCAGTCTGCTTGCTCTACTGCTGCTCAGGGCTGCCTGAAATTCTGGTTAGGAAAAGTGCAGCCATGTCTGTGTTACAGCAAGGTGGCCCATGCTCTGGGGACATCCTGGGGTAAATGATCTTTTGACCCTCCTGGAGCTCTTCACAGCTGGCCCAAGGTGAGCTGTGAAGAGGGTGCCACGGTCTCATGTCTGAGGTTTGGCTGATTACTGAACACATAGTTCATTCTGTCAGACAGCTTTATTGGTCTGCAGCCCAAGCCATTAGCCAGGGACAGCAGCTGTGTGGGAATTTGGGAGGGAGTGTTTGTTTTCTCCCTTTATTTCCTGTTTCCCATTCCTCCCCAGCTTTTCCCCATTAATTGCACCCCCTGCCTCACAGTGTTCCATGTTCCTCTCTGCCTCCTGGGGAAGGCAGTCAGAATTCCAGTGCACCGGTGGAGGCCTGCCCCTGTAACACACATGTGTGTCAGGGGCTGGCATTGGTTTGGGGTCTTGTTTCTGACTTAGTGAGTCCATGCAGCTGCACTTCTTCTGCAGCAGAAACCTGGCTGGAATCAGTCAAGCCCAGTTCTGTTACTAAGCCCAAGTGTGAAGCTTTATTGGATTTCCTTTCTGGAGAGCAATGGCTTAAGATGGGCTCAGCCCTTCCTTTGGAGGAATCTGAGGAATTTCCATTGCTTCCTGTACACGAGGCCTCTTTTGACCAAGCTATAAGTAGAAAGGAAATGAAAATGTACAGAATTCCTCCATCTGGTACGTGCTAGTTCAGAGCAGTTCACTCTGGGTGCCTTTTCCCTCCAATAAACAAACAAAACCTATGATCCCAAGCTGTTTGGCTGAGGCTGATGTATATCTGAAATGAGGGAGACATTCTCTCTGAGCTCAGGGATCAAAAGGATGCTTTTCCCTGCATCTTGGCCCCAGGAGCCACAGGAACTGCTGCCCTTCAGCCAGCTTGCATCAGCCGGGGGCAGGGAGCCTTTGGCAAATCTTAGGGGGAGCAGAGCAGGAGGTCCCAGCAAAGCCTTGGTGCTGTGTAGGAGCTTCTGTGAGGTGTGGAAAAGGGGCACTGGTGATGTCTGAGACCCCCACCTTGCTTGGCCAGGCTGCAAGAGGTCGGGAGGGAGCCCCAGGATCCCAACAGGCATCAGCTCCATGAAATGAGGTCTCTTTGCACAGAGACCCTTCTGCTGTCCTCTGTCTGTTGTGGGCTGGATTCTTTGCTGTTCTGGTTGAGCTTTTCAAAATACTCCTTTTTCAAATAATATTATTTGCCAGGGCATCCTTCGGTGTGTGGGGGCGTGTTGGGAAATCAAGTTACTCTTGTAGTTTAGGTTCATATGGTTGTGTACTTAAAAGCCAATTCCCTTGTCATCTTTGCCTGTGAGAAGCAGCAGGGATCCCAGTTGGTTTGGACTGTTATTCCTTAGGGCTGTAATTGTTTTTTTCACATGCAGCCTGGGAGTTGCCAGGCCTGTTTCTCTGAGAACTTGGCTCCTCTGGAAGTCAGAGTCACTGCGGCAGAGAATGAAGCTTTGAACCTGGGACAATTTAACAGGAAGCCCCTGCCCCTCTCGCTCCTGCCAGGCTTTTCCTGCTTGCCCATCACCCAGCACGGTGTTTTTGGAAGTGAGCTTTGGAAGTGGTTTGCAGTCCATGATCCTATGAGCTGCATGCAGAGCTTTCTGTTTCACTCTCTGACGCTCTGCTGCTCCCTAGGACAGCGTGGCACTAATTGCAGATTCAGTTTGTGCTCACTGAGCAGCCAAGGCTCACCTGCCCTCAGGCTTTGCCACATCCTTCACAAGGAATTGAAGTTTCGGTGTCTACAGTCAAAGCATTAAATCCAGCACTGAATTTTAGGGAGGTTTTGTTTTGAGTCTCCTGAAGACTGTATGCTGTGAGAGGTCTGGTTCTGCATGTAGCTAAAAATCCAAAGATAGCTCTTGCCCTGCTCTCCCACAAAAGGATTTTTGTAGTTTTTAGAATCAGTATTTTTGCTTCCATGTGTAGGAAGTTGGTGTGGTCATGTGGAATGGTGTGATTTCTCTGGGGCGGCCAGTGCTGTGCCAGAACAGCTCTGGGCATCCTGTCTGGAGGGTATTTTAGGAAGTAACTGAAGTGCCTATTAATTAGCAGAGTTAAATACAAGGCTTGAGATAAACTGACAAGTTGTGTTCCCCAGCTCAATATTGCATCCCCTAAAAAAACCCCAACCAATAAAAAACTCATCAAACCCCCCAACACTGCTAGGAAAAGTAAAAGTTTAACTTTGTGGGAATTAGGATGTTCCACTGGCCCAAGAGTTAATGTGTTCCTTAGGCACATGGATGCAACGTGTCTGTGTGACTTCAGTGGAGTTTTCATTTTAAAAATGCTTTTTCAGAAAAGCCTCTTGGGGGAAATAGTTATCATTCCCACACTATCATTATGGCTGGGCTATCCAAATCCATTTAAGGAATAAAACAAAAGAGGAATTTGGCATCCAGAGTTCCTAAGAGGCTTTAAAAATCTCAGAGGTACATGGACAACGTATTTCATGTCCCAAGTCTTCACTGCCTATCTCAGTGCTGGGGAAGGAATGCCAAGGAGTGGAGGGGGAATGAAGGAATCCAGTCATGTGGTTACTTGGAGTAGGAAGGCTGCTGATGGTTTGCAAAGGCCAAAGGAGAAAGGGAGGTCTCCCAGGATGGTGTTATCTAAATCAAGCTCCCGATGTGACTCTATTAGCAATGAGTAGTGAAAATGAATTCTGCTCTGTGTCAGTGTCGTGCCTAATGAGCTACACAGGGGCAGATTTCTCCCGGGTCTGCTACACAAACCTTGCGTTTGGAACGCAGAGACTTGGCCCAGACAGAGGGAGAAGGGAGGCGGTGTGGGTCCGAGGGATCATCGGCCTCGTGGGCATCGGGGGTTGCTGCAGGCACTTGTGTAGAGGCTGCTTCTCTTCCAGGACAGCCGCCCTGCCTGCGGAGTGATGCACGGGACGCTGTGCAGGGAGCTCGGCTCCTCCTTTCCATTCGCCTCCCACTGCTGCCACCTAGCAAGCTGGGATGGCTTTCACGGGGGTGATGCTGCCTCTGCTGGAGCCTCTGCCGTGTTTTGTGACACGACAGCCCAAGTGCTGAGGTCTCCGGGGGCTGGAAGCTCCTGGCTGTGCTTGAAACACTGTTCTGACTGGGTTTTGTGTGCTTTTAACAGTCTCCAAGAGACTTATGAAGCAAAGAGGAATGAATTCCTGGGCGAACTCCAGAAGAAGGAGGATGAAATGAGGCAGATGTTTGTCATGCGAGTGAAGGAGAAGGAAGCAGAGTTGAAGGAAGCAGAGAAGGATGTGAGTATATTGTAACTGTGAGGGCAGGGCTGTTAGAGAACATGTCCTGCTGGGGCAGGAAGCTGCTCCTCAGGCCTTGCGCTGCTGCAGAGGTGCAGACAAGAGTACAGCCCTCAGTGCCCAAGTTCCCTTGCTCTGCATGAACCTGATAGAGTACCAAGGTACCAAGCACTGAGGAATGGAATATGGAGATGTGCAAGTGTCCAGAGGCCTGCTGCTATGGGAATTCCTGCTCTCTTGAGTGCCAGTGAGTGTTACCTGCAGGGCTTTTCTCACGAGTCAGGCAGACTGGGGACAGGCTCATGGCCTGCAGGCAGTGCAGGGAGGCCTCAGTGCCAGCAGGAACACCTGGGGCATCATTGCCAGTAAATCAGGGTGGAGCATTCCTTCCTCTCTTCCCAGCCAATTCTCACTGTCTCTGTCCCGGCAGCTTCACGAAAAGTTTGACCATCTAAAGAGGACTCACCAAGAAGAGAAGAAAAAGGTAGAAGACAAAAAGAAGGAACTTGAGGAAGAGCTGAACAACTTTCAAAAGAAGAAGGCAGCAGCTCAGCTATTACAGTCACAGGCTCAGCAGGCAGGTTCTCAACAAACCAAGAAAGACAAGGACAAGAAAAAGTAAGCGGATGTCACCCACACCCTTTGTAGGGTTTGTTATCAGTTTTGGGAGGTTGTTTTTTTCTTTCTTGCTGCATGTCTGTATTTGCTTTTCCCCATTACCAGACTGGAAACAGGCCTTTTCTCAGCCTGATCAAATAAAATATTTTTTTTTCTAAAGGGTGGGCCAGGGACATGATCTTAATTTTTCACTAGAAGAGTACCTTCAAATTTTATCTTCAAGTCTGACTGGTGTGGGAGAGCAATTGGATGGTGGAGTTTTGATTTGTGATCTGTTCAGCATCTTCTGGAACTATGGGATGTTCTGGACTCAGATTTATCTGCCTGAGCCAGAAGTATTAAGGGAGTTGCTACCCTTCCTTTCTTTCACCAGTAGTCTCCAGATCCCATTCCTTAAGGTTGTAGTTGTAAGTAGAAGTAAATTAGAAACCAAAACCACCATGGTTTTTTTACATGGGGAATGCTAGTGCCAAAAGTGATGACTTGGAAGCTTGCTTTAAAGACAAGAAGCTTTGGTTTTGTATTTTTTTAGAAAAACAAACTACTACGGTACTGTAATTGCAGTTAAATGGCGTTTGTGGTTGTATCAAGTTGACATAATAAGCTAAGAAACCCTTACCTTTTAGTCAAGATCATGGCACTGTTTTTTACTATTTTATATTCGTGTCCTAGGAGTGTGATCCTTTGCCCTCCCCTGGCTTTTTCCATTCCTAGTAAAAGGGTGCTCATGCAAGTCCTTAGTGAGTCACCTGTGCTAAGGGTGCTTAGTTGGTACTGCCATTGGGAAGGCTGGGGATGCAGAAAATCTCATTGGAAAACACTTGGTTAACCCACACACAAAAACGAAAGTTCCACGCTGCTTTCACTGCCCAGGAGAGAATGGGGTGTTCCTTAGAGTAACCGGGGTGGTGTCACCCCTGGCAGAGCCAAGTGCCAGCAGGGCTGTGCCTCAGACACTTGTGTCTCCTGTGCCAGCCTGGGAGCTGCAGCCTGGCCTGAGCTGTATGGCAGCAGCTGTGCAGCAGATGCCCTGGGGTTTCACAGCTTTCACCCTCACTGCATGGCCCCTGTCTCCAGTTCTGTGCCTGGCGTTGGTCACTGCTGCCTGGGGCAGGTGGGCAGGGCCCAGGGCCGGCTCCTCAGCTGCTGTAAATTGATGTAGCTCCTATGGAGCCGTGCTGCTCAGTGCTGCCTGAGGACCTGGCCCTGGGCCCTGCCAGGATCCGTGGAGTGGTGCATGCTGCACACTCTGCTCGGGGAGAAATCCTTGCAAACCAGACCCAGGGGTGTCGGGCTGAGCACTGGAACCGGCCAGTGTCGGCAGCTAAGGCCCAGGCATGCTGAAACCCCCTGCTGCAGGTAGCTGGGACACTCATCTTCTCTCACCTGAGATCTCAGACATGGTGATGCATTCCCTAAAGAGAATACAAAGTTTTGAAGACCCTTTTCCTTATCTCTCAGAGTCAGCCTAGTATTTTTAAGAACTGTGCAGTCAGATTTTTTTGTCTCTCAGCTGTAGGACCAGTGCAGTACAGAATGGCCTGGGGAGTTCTGTCCATTTGGGTGGTCAGTGTGAGCTCCTGTTTGGTTCCAGCCTCATGGGTGAGACAGGGCTGTTCCCAGGGACCATGACAAACACAGGTTCTGCTTTGCTGCTGCGTTCACAGAAATCCAGCCTCGAGGAACATGCCCGTGTTTTAGTGTGTCCTTTGTGTTGCTCCACACCAGGTGCTGTACCTGCTGCAGGTGTTCTCTAGTGTCAGAGTTACTAACAGAGGCTTTAAAGGGAAATGCTGATGCTCCTGCCTTGTAGCTCGCCTTGGTTTTCTGAAGGCTTTCAGTTTCTCCTTGCACTCTAATGTGGAGCTGCAGTTTGGGTATTTAAGGCTTCCAACCTCTCTCTCTGCTGCCATGGCCTGTGGTGCTTCTTGTGCAGTTGCCAGAGGAAAGCCTTGCCATGCCTGACCCTTACAGCCTCCCCACAAAGTAATTAATAGGAATGCTTGATTTTTCTCAAGGTGGGATTGGATTTTTGTGATTTAGACAAGAGAGATTTCCCAGTGTGCTGTGCATGCTGGAGGGAAGGCTCAGGGTGAAATCTGCTGCTGGCCTGACTCCATGAGGGAAAGCTCAGCCTTCTTGATTTCCAGACTATTCCTCCAAAAACTCTCTAGCTTGTACTCTTTTTATCTAAAAAGTTTGGGGCTGTGGCCTGACAGCAGCAGTGTTTGGGGACAGCACACCTGTGTCCCTCAGGCACCGAAGGGGTGGCTGCAGAGCAGACTCTGGCACTTGCCTGGACGTGGGGCTGAGCCCCTGCTGTAGGGGACTGTGCTTCCAACCTGACCAGTCTGGAGAGAGCTCCTGGCAGCAGGGCCAGTGGGAGAGGCAAGCAGCCTTCTGGTGCTGGCCTGCTGCTGGCTGGATGGCCACATGCCTCAACATGTGCTGTTGTTGCTGCTCATCCGCAGCCCCCCAGGAGCCAGGACCATCTGCTTGGCTTCTGTCTCCAGTTATTAAAAGCTGTCTCTGAAAGCCAAGTATAAAACCCTTTTTTTTTTTTCCCAGTTCCTTTCCACTTAAGTTTCCAGTCCAATGTGCCTGGTCGGGCCATCAGCGACCATGCTAGTCCCAAAGCAGTCCTGGAGCTACAACACCCCTGTCAGGGCCTGGCCCAACACCCTGTAAAAAGAGGGGTTTGGTGGTGCCTGAAGGATCTGAGCTGACTGTGAAAGCCCTAGTGCTTGGAGACATCATGGTATCCAGGTGTGAGATACCTGAGCTATCCTGCTAGGATGTCCAAGGGAAGTACCCCAAGCGGGCCACCTGCACCCGTGTCCCAGCTGGGAACAAATGAGCCCCAAAGCCACCGAGCTCTGTGGTGACAGGCTGTCACCTGGGCTGGCTTACAGGGTTGGTTGGTCAGTACTTCTGTCTCTGCAGTTTTTCTTTTTACTTTTGCTTGTCATAGGCCAGAGTAGAGCCCAGCCTTGAGGTTGAATATCTTTGTAATTCCATAATCCATCTGCATGTCCACCCACCGGAGCGGGTTGCTGGTGTTGGCTCTCCTGGCTTTCTTTAATTTTTTTGCATTTTGAGTTCAATTAGTGCTAACTTTTTTGTTTTTTGTTCTGTTTTTTTAACTTGCAGTGCAAGCTTCACATAAAGCCTGTCGAGCCAAGGATGTTCCTGCATTCACCTGCTTTTGCAGTAATGTGTCTCTGCCATCTGTTTTCTTTTTATATTTTTTTCCATTTTTTAACATGAATAACTATTAACTCATCTAATAACATAGTGGGAACAAGAAGGAAGAGGGATTGGGTGCAGGACTGTGTGCGAGTGGAAGTTCAGGGCTGGGTGGAGGGACGAGGTAATCATGATGACACCGTGCATTTTTCTCACCAAAACCATCAGCAGTAAATTATTTTTGGCCCCCAGTCTGAACCAAGACTCAGAGTTGGCTGTCAGCAGCTCAGGTATTGGCTGGCTCAGGTGCCCTCAGTGCTGCTGGCTGTGCTGTGGGATCCCCAGGGAATGAGTGATTCAGGAATGTCCCAGCCAGCCCAGGCTATGGCTGGAGCTGGAGTTTAGCCTGACCCACATTCCTTGAGGAGCTGATGTGTTCAGCAGCCCCAGTCCCATCGGGCAGAGGGAGGGGGGTGTGTGTAGATAACCAAGTGTAACTGACCCTGCATGTCGTGACATTTGCATGATAATTTGTGTAGCTCCTGTTGCTTGCTCTCCGCCCGTGGCCTGGTTTCCAGCCTCCCTTCCAGCTCAGCCACCTCGGGGAAGGACCATTCCCAGCACTGTTCCCCCTGCACCATTGCCTCAAACCTTTGGAGCCTCCCTTAAAATCCTGCCTGCTTTCCAAGGGGCAGGATCTTAACAAGGCTTAGCAGCCCTCATGGAATCAAATGCCTGGGCAGGGGGAAGATAGAGCCTTCAGCATCCTCTTGGAGCTTCCAGGAGCATGTGGGATCCACACCTCCAGGTTAAGGGAGACAAGGTGCCTGGACACAGTCTCTGTGCTGCCCCCAAGCCCTCCTGCAGCAGGAATAATGTCCCATTCAGGTGTTCCTAGGACATGACAAGGAGCTGTAGGATAAGCCAGGCCCTGCTCTCTGGCCAGCACACAGTGGAAATGGGGCTGTTTCAAGTGTTTTTTCCATGCCATTGCTTGCAGACAGTGTCATTCCCTTCCTTCCCAAGGAGTGGCAAGCCATGCTTACCCTGTGACTCCTGGATTTCTTCCTCTGCCAGTGCACAGCCAGCACTTCCTAGCTATGCAGTCTCTTAAAAGCCTTCTTTAAACCCTTCTTACACAAAACTCTTCCTACCTGAGTCTCCCACTGCAGCTGTTTGCCTGCTTCTGGATGGAATTTCTCTGGGGAGAAAAGAAAAGGCAGACTTCCCACTTCTTTTAATCACTTTTTCCTCAGGTGTTGGATTGGGAAATGCTTGGAGGTTAGCTTATGGGTTGTCCTGCTTTTTAACCCTCACCGCTTAAACATGGCTTTAGGAAGAGAATATCTATGAACCATGTCTTGGTAGACAGCAAAAATGGATAAATAAGCTGGAAATAAAGCAGTTATCCTTTTAAAATTTTTATAAATTTTTTTTTTTTAGATTTTTTTAAAGTAGTTTTTAAAATTATTATTCTTTTGTTGTTGTTGTTTGGGTTTGATTTTTTTTTCCCTCCTGGAGTTGCCAACTATGCACTTTTCATCAGGTTAAATAGGTTTGCTGCAGGGTTAGTTGGAAAAATGAAATTCTGGTTCTTGTGGCTTCTGGCAAACCCAGCTTTAAAATCTTGAGTTATGAAGGAAGAAGTTTGAGTTGTTTGCATGAGTTTTTTAAGTCACATCACATGCCCATCACCGAGTGCTCATGGCAATATGCTTTGCTTCAGCTGCCTCTATGCATGTCATCTTTTTAATTACCAGTGTTTTGTGCCAAGTAGAAAACTTAATTTTAACATTTATTTCTCCTGCTTCATTTAACAGCCCTTCAAGGGATGTTTAGCAGGGGAAATCAGCTGAGCTGAGCTTTTCCTTTTTGACAGAAAGCTGTGGCCAAGTGCATTAGTGTCTTTTTGGTTGAGTTTTTCTCCAGCAGAAAACCAGCTGTGTTGGAGAAACTGGGAATAAACCACAAAC